ATATATGCTAGCTTGTGCGCCCTCTCTCTCTCTCTCTCTCTATATATATATATATGTATAGTATATATTTATAGGCCATTTACATAAATACATTCCAATTCTTATGTACTTAAATATCCAACATCTAAATTTTACATTTTTACATTTGTTCCATCCAAATCTTTCACATCACTTCAAAAATGCCACTAATTTAATTTATAAGAAGTGAAATTCATAGCATGCATAGGTAAGGTGGCATCTATATAAAATTGAAGTTTAGGTGTTAGACATGTAAGCACTTCAGAATTTAATAGTATTTTCTAGATTGTTTTAAATTTTTTTAATATTTTGAACTCTAGCTATTGAAACATTATTCAATATTTTTTTATCATTTTTTATTCCTTTGTTTAATCTTTTGTTTGGTTAAGATGCATTTTCTATGTCACCTCATTTTTTTTTTCCTACATTCAATATTTCTTTTAAATCTTAAAAATTCTCTATTTTCTATAATTAGTTATTATCCAAATTATCTACTTATTTCAATTGTCTATTAGTGACAAATAAGCAACTTGAATGTTGTTGTAGTTAAAGTATTGCTTTTATTAAATCTGAGTTCGTAGTATTCTATTTCTCCCTGTGGGATCGATATCTAGGACTCCATTAGAGCTCTATATTACTTGAGCAATACGTATACTTACGTTGACAAATTTGACTTTAAAATTATTTAATATTATATTTATACATCTTTATTAAATCAAACTCATATATATAAAGTCATGGTCAAGTTTTTGGCATCATTGCTGGAATTTAAATCTTCTGGTAGCGTCATCAAATTCTTGTAATTGTTGATTTACAAAAAAAGGTCGGTCAAGTTTTTGGCGCCGTTGCCGGGGAGAATTTTAGGAGTAACTGACATATTAGAATTATTAAAAATTTTTTACTTAAATTGCAACTTATATATATATTTATATATTTATATTATGGTTTATAGACTTCCAAGACTATACATATTAGTAATCTTAGCTCTACTATTATGGGTTGGCTGTATAACTGATCCATGCATTCCTCTTGGGTGCTATACATGGTGTTAGTATTATTTTGTGCTAGTATTTCTGAACAACTTTTTTTTTCCCTTCAATTCTCATGCTATCATAATTTTTTGTTTCTTTTCATTATTGTTAGATACATCCTATATAGTTTACCTACCTTTAAATGACCCAAAAACCTTTGGAGTTTTCTTATTTGCCTTGCATCATAATTTATTTAAGTGGGTTTTTACATTTTGCTTCTTAACTTTTGTGGGCTGTTCCACCTTTGCATAAAGTCGCCTATTATGAAGATAATGTGGATTGCATTTATTGATTGAAATTTTACTAATTAAATACTTTTTGACTAAGAAAATGCATTTTATGGGCTGCATTTATTGATTGAAATTTTACTAATTAAATACTTTTTGACTAAGAAAATGCATTTTATGGGCATAGAAACTTTCATAAGGGAAAATTCTTAAGTTTGATTAAGATAAAGTTGGATGTAAGAGAGTAATACTCAAAAAAAAAAAACAAAAAGAGAAGAAAACATGTATCAGGCCCTGTTTGTGATAGGATTTGGAAATGTTGTTTAGATTGGAACGTTAAAAAAAACAAAGGAGACATAATCTAAAAGCTTTTAAACTGATGTTAATAATAAATATTGTGCTTGATTTGATTTGTACATAATAACGAAGATCAAAATCTGGTGAATATTATAAAGATTGTAAAAAAAAAATCGCTTCAATCCTATGGATCCGCCATCCATACATTTGGCATAAGATTTGATAAGAAAATGTTTGTTCATTGAATTTTAATTGTCATAATTAGATTCAAATCAAATCAAGCATATCATTTATGTTTAACTCTTCTTTAAAGCTTTTGGATAAACTCTTTTATTATTGATTTAAATTTCAATAAGGACTAACATGGAAAATATTTGGTCTGGAAAATCTTTTTTTTAATTATTTCTTATTCAAACAAAGTTTTTTTTTACATATTGGAAAAGGATTGATGACACCAAGAAAAGTGTTGAAAGGTGGAGAAAATCTTATTCTCTTATTTCTCAATCATCAAATTACAGCTCTCTCCTTATATAATAAGGAACGACTAGGACAAGCTTAAATACAATATTACAACTAGCAAAGATAAACTAATTCAAAGCGGAAAGAAATATGACATAACAAAAAAGAGTAATACTAACATAAGAAACTCCGAATTTTACACTCCCCCTCAAGCTGGGTCATAGATGTTATAGAGGCCCAGTTTGGTATTGAAATCAGTGAAGCTGCTTGGAGGTAAAGATTTTGTGAAAACACCAGTGAGTTGAAGTTGAGTGGGACTGTAGATGAAGTGAATAATGCTTTCACTGACCTTTTCAGAGATAAAATGTCTATCAATCTCAATGTGTTTGGTCTTGTCATGATGCACAATATTCTTTGCAATGCTAACGGCGGCTTGAACAATCTCAATGTGTTTGGTCCTGTCATGATGCACAAGATTCTTTGCAATGCTAACGGCGGCTTGACTATCATAAAACAACTTTATAGGATTGACTTTAGATTATCTTAATTCACTTAGTAATCTTTCGATCCAAATTCCTTCACAAATTCTTAAAGTAAGTGCCTGGTACTCGGATTCTTCGCTACTTCTAAAACAACAGCTCGCGTCTTGCTTCTCCAGGTGGCAAGATTTCCCCAGACATCGAAAGAATACCTAGTGGACTTTTTGTCCGTGAGTTTTCTTCCCCAGCTAGCATTAATGCAAACCTCTACCTCATTGTTGTCTTATTTCTTAAACTGTAATTCTCTGTCAGTGGTCTTTTCAAAAAACTTAATATTCTATAAATCATCTCAAAATTTTCTTGATTCAAACTATTAATATATTGACTTACAATGCTGATAGAGTAACTAATATCAAGTTTAGTGTGTGATAGGTAGATAAGCTCACTAAACAATCTATGTTATATATATTTTTTCACTGGTCTCTTTTCTCCTCCCGAATGTAATTTTTTGTTAAAATCCATAGGAGTCCCAGCAAGTTTGCATCCCAACATTCATATCTTTTTTAGTAGGTCTAGGTTGTATTTTATTTGGAATATCACAATACACATCTTGGACCTGGCCATTTCCATGCCCAAAAAATATCTTATCGCTCGTAGATCTTTAATCTCAAAGTCATTGACAAGGACCTTATTAGTCTTCTCAATCTCCTTTTCATGATTATATGTCAGGATCATATCATCTATATAGACAATGAATATCACCTTCTTGTCTCTCTGTGTATGCTTTATAAACAATGTATAATCTGCTTGACATTAGATGTATTCGTTAGATTTCATATTCTTGACAAGCTTGTCAAGCCAAGCCCTTAGAGATTATTTGAGGCCATAACATGACTTTCTTAGTTTACAAACCAGATGTAAATTTGAGTTATTTTTCCGTCAGTGGGATTTTTATATACACTTTTTCTCTAAGGTTTTCATCTAGAAGCACATTCTTGATATCAAAAAGAAGCAATTCACAATCTTTGTTCACTTCCAAAGAAATAAGAACTCTTACGGTGTTTAATTTGACTAGTGGAGCAAAGATCTCTTGATAGTCTATTCCATACGATTGAGTGAACCATTAGCCACCAACCTAGCATTGAACCTCTCAATGCTCCTATCTGTTTTGTACTTGACATTGAAAACCCATTTGCACCCAACAAGCCTTTTATATGAAGGAAGCTTTGTAATGATGCACGTGCTATTTAGATCAAGTGTTTGAATTTACTCTTCAATTGTCTTTTTCCATTGCAGACTTCGAAGTGTTTCATGAATAGACTTGGGTATCTGCACACTAACAAGTTAGATATAAAAGCTTTATAAGTTGATGATAACTTCCCATAGGCAACATAATCCTAAATAGAATAATTTCTGTAATTTTTGATATTTTCTCCACTAGATTACACCTGACTTGAAACTTCAACGATGTTTGAATTCATGTTTGGTTATGAACAATCTTACGGTTTTATATTTTCTTTTTTCTACTTAGTGGATTTCTTTTTCCTAGTATACACACGAAGTTCCTTATTGTCAATCACCGATTTGATGTTCTCAGTTGGTGTAACTTGAGAGACGAGATTGTTAGAAGGAAGGAGAATAGTTCGTGATGACTTTAGATAAGTGTGGGTATCTCGAGTACTCTAGGTAAGTTGGATAGTTTGCAATGACTCTCGATCCATGTGAGTATCCAGAGTAGTATCTCAAGTCTGATATTCACTTGGGTTTTTCCCCTGAATATCAGATTTGGGGTGGTAGAGTTGATTTTCGAAGAAGATAACATCTATGGAGTAATAATACTTTTTTATAATAGGACACTATCACATACCCGTTTTTGCTCGAAGCACACTCAAGGAAGCTACATCTGATGAATTTTGGGTCAAACTTTGGGTGGTTTGGTTGGTGAATGTGAACAAAAGAGAGACAACCAAATATTTTTAAAGGAAGATTGGATGAGTTGGCTCTGACAAGAGAGTATTTTTTTCATCATAATATTGAGAGGGGCTTTGAATACAATGTCTTTGCTTGGCATTCTATTAATGAGGTAGGTGGCTGTGAGCATGATATCTCTCTTGAAAATTTTTTGGGATATTGTTAGAAAGCATTATAGACCTAGATATCTTGAGGAGTCGTCTATTTTTCCTCCTATCTATCCCATTTTGTTGTGAAGTTTCAACGTATGAACTCATATGAATGACATTGTTCTTTGCAAGGTAGGGTCTAAAGATAGAATAAAGTATTCCCTTACATTATTAGTTTTGTGGACTTGAATTTTGCATTGAAACTGAGTGGAAATTATGTTATAGAATGATTGAAAGATTTATGTAGTTTCAGATTCTTCTTTCAAGAGGACTATATATCTAGTTCTAGTGTGGTTGTCTATAAAGGAGACAATTCTAGCTTCATTGATGGATTTTAATTTTGATGGTCCCTAAACGTCACTGTGGATGATAGAGAAATAATACGAGGGTTTATACTTGGACAAATGATAGACATAACGTGCATATTTAGCCAATTGACATGATTCACACTGATAAGACTCTGAGTTTGTATTAATAAAAAAATGAGGGTACAACTTTGCAATATAGTGAAATTTGGGATGACTTGGATGATGATGTCATAAAGAACATTAACAGAATCAGACATAACAAACTCGGGAATATGGAAAGAGGATGTAGAAGATGACACTTGTGTGTTAAATATTATTCATTTGGCAGGTATAGGCACAATTCAGCACTGTCGATCACCACCTCCTATGAATCACCGACACTCGTAAATAGACTCTGTACCTATGACACGTGTCGGACACAGACTCATCTCCGACATGGGTCGATACCGTGTCCGCACTTAATAAAAGTATCGACACTTTTGCCTTCCTGGACACTGCCCTCGACATTGAACAAACACTGCTCAACACCAAATGCGAAGACGGGAAATAAAAGTCGAGCGGTGAAGAAAAATCCGAAGTGTCGACATTTGAAGGTGTTTAGGTCTTACCAAAGCCTCACAACATCCTCTCGAAGCTAGCATTGTCCTTGTTAAGCATCGC